TGACAGTCTGATTTAAGAGTCCCACCCTTATGCTACATTACTGTGGTGAGGTGAACTTTGGGTGTTTAAAGGCATGCCAGCAGACAGGGGAAACCTTTAAAAAGCCATTGAATGACAGACTATTCCTCAGAAAGGAATTCAAGAGTCCATATAGTTCAACCTATAACTCAACAAAAAACCCACCTACAAGTGGTCACCTGGCCTTTGTCTGAAGTCTTCTGGTAACTTTTAGTCAATGCTTATTAAACATCAGCTGAATTGAACTCAATTTTGTTTGGCTTTACAAAACAGCCCAACATCTCTGTCACAGGATTTTCCCCAGAGATTAGTCTCTCTCAGGTGTGGCAAGTTGGGACACAGTAGTAACCTTTGAGCCTCCAGGGGCTCCGCTGGCCACACCCTGGAAAACTAGTCATTGGTTTCTGCTACAGCTGGGAACACACCTAAGGCTGTATGAGGCAAACTATGTGACCAATTCAAGTTCTTCCTAAAACTACTAATTGTGCCAGTGTCTGCTAATCTAGGTGTTTGCTTGGGATAAACCTACTTCTACGTCTTTGACTGACCACTAGTTTCCTCACATTCACTGAGTCTCTGCAATTTGTTTGACTTTTGTCTGCTGCTTCATCTTAGGATTCTTGTTCTGTTTCCAAACATTCTGCTTGACTTGACCAAGAACTTTCCTACTCAAACTCCCCTGTGGCTACTGTTTCAGTCCTGAATTTTATAGCCTTGAATCTTTTCTGCCCTTGATTTAACCATTGATTCTCAAACTCTGTGTGGGTGTGTGTGGGTGTGTGTGTGTGCGCGCGCACACACAAACACATATGTAGGTCAAAGTATTAGTCAGTGCAAGGAATTGCAAGACACTGAACATTTAAGTTGGCAAAACTGCAGGAGATAGAAAACTCATGAATGTACATGCAATTGCACAATTCATGAACACCTAGAGAAACCAAGCCAAGGGTACATCTTTTGAGAAGCACTGGTTTCAATGCAACATAATAAGCCTCATTCCCTGAGAGCTTCCCAAAGATGATGAAAAATGTCCCAATAGCCCAACATTTCTGTGTAACAAACAAGTATGAAAAATAGTTGGGGAGGCATTATCAGACAACTGTGAGAAATATCTGGGTTTTTTAACACACAGTAAGATCAATATGAGTCAGCTGTATTATGGGGCAGTCAAAAAAGGGTAATGTGATTTGGGGCTCCCTTAAGAGAATCATAACTTCCAAAAACAAGGATGTGATAATAACTCTATACTCTGCCCTGATCAGAGCAAATCTACAATATCATTTTCGTGTCCAGGTGCCAAAATAACAGAACTCTTGATAAACCTTAGCATCAAGAAGAAAGAAACTAACATGGTGAAAGACCTTGAGTCAATTTCATAAAGCTAAATTGGAGGAAATGAAGAAAAAAACTCAAGGACATATGACATCTGTCTAGAAATATTTAAAAAGTTATACTGTTAAAAAAGTCATCTGCACTCAATACATCCACCTTCTCCCCTCCTCTAAACCTCTGTAATATGGCTTCTGACCTCACTGGTCAACTAAAATTTCTCTCTCCAAAGTTACCAATGATCTCTTATCAAAATCCAAAGATTTTTTTCTCCGTCTTTATCCTTCTTGACCTTCTTTAACAGTGTTGAACACTTTTCTCCTGACATATTCTCTCTTCCCCAGGTTTTCATGTCTCTATTCTTCTAGTTCTCCTAACCTGTCTGGTCTGTCTTCACTCTTCTTTGCTCAATCTTCATCTCTGCCTCTCTTTGCTCTTTCTTGGATGAAACAGAAAGTCAATAACTCCATTGCTTTAGATGAGAGGGAACACCAACAGGCCTCGTCTGCTTTGCCTCTTATGACCTGTTGTCACTTAGCAATTTATTATAACTACTCAATTAACTTAATGAACTGTTGGCCTTGTCATCTGCACCACATATTTCCAAGCTTTGCCATGTTCCCTATAACTGAACTTTCACTTATAATTTCTCTCCCAACAAGAGTGTAAGCACTTTGAGGAGAGGGACTTTCTCTGTTTTTTTTTATCTGTATCCCCAGTGACAGATAAGTAAGCACTTAATAAATATTCACTTTCTTCCTTTCTTTCACTTTTTGGCTACAATGGGTTCAATCCAATATCAATATCAATGCAGATGACGATGACCAGACCTAGATGGTCTGGTCCTAATCTCTATTGAGAATTCTGGCCTTGACTTGTTCAGTTGTAAGTCCTGTTCAACTTTTCATGACCCCATTTGGGGTCTTTCTTGGCAAACACTGGCATGGTTTGTCATTTCTTTTTCCAGCTCATTTTACAGATGAGGAAACAAAGGCAAACAGGGTTAAGTGACTTGCCCAGGGTCACACAGCTAGTAAGTGTCTGAGGACATATTTGAACTCAGGTCTTCCTAACTCTAAGGCCAGTGTTCTATCTACTCACCACCTAGCTGCCCAATTACCCATTTACTCATTACTAATAGTATAGTTTTTAAAAACTTTTTCCTCCTATTCTTTTTTCTTTCAGGTATAACAGATAGTTCTCTGGAAGGGATGGAGAGAAAAGACATACTAGGAAATGTAGGTAATGAAACACAAATGTTATCAACAAAATGTATTCTAAAAAAGAAAACAGATCAAGCCCTCAACTAGTTCATCAGTTCTTGCTAGTGACAGGGAAAACATTTTTCTATCACTCCATTACCTTCCTTTTACCACTCCACCACCACCACTTGATAATTTAGTGACTAGAATGTCACAGTCTGTTTTTTAAGACACTAGTACATTTTTTTAGGCCACACTTCCTTCCTAGCCAAACACATCCTGTGCCTTCTAGATCTACTCAATATCCTCTTATTATCTTCAAATAGGCGTTAAAGAGGCCTGTGAAGTAGGCTCTACCTTACTCTGGCTCTGCCTAATTCACTCCACAACACAGTATGTCATAACCACAACTACAATACAGTCTGATAATAAAGTAAGCAACTGGACTTAGAAAAAGAAGCTGGGATATCTCAATTCTAACTCCAGAAGTTAACTGTTTCATCTACCCTCTTAGAGCTTTGGTTTCAACTGTCAAACAAGAAACTGGACCAGATGACCTCTAAGGTCTCTTCCAGGACTGACATTCTGTAGTTATACATCAAAATTCCATTTTGGCAGAAAAACCATTCAAGAGCTCTGGTGTCTATCATCTACATAAATGGAAAAGCTATATATGGCTCATTTATGACTCCTCCATCTCTTCCTTTACTCCCAGTCTATTGTAAAAGGCAAATTCAAAAAGGAAACATTCATAGAATAAAATGTTACAGAGCTAATGAAGAAAAAAAGTCAAGTCAATTGTTAATTTCCTAACTAGCACGGATTTTTTTCCAACTTTTACTATCTTCTTTAATAGTTCTGGTATGCAAGATATAAATTGAAAAAGCAAAAAAGTATACATGAACACATTTAGGTTGGGGATACCATAAATATTTATTGAATTTAATGCAATGAGGGAAAGTCTTGATATCACTTCTTGTTATGTTTTCTGCAGGTTTTTCCATTCATTTTAAAATGACTTTGATGTTGTAAGAAGAATTAGGATGTGTGGCTTCAGCTATAGCTCTAAGATTAGCGCAATATTTCAATAGTCTGTGACTTCATCATTGTGGGTAGTCCTTCCAGTGGTTCAGGTCACAACCACCACCAACTAGATGACCTTTAAGAGGTGCTGTAAGTGAATTTTCCATCAGCCTACAGCCAATCAAGTGAGGACGGTCTCCAAATTTAGTCAGATTGGTCTTCAGATAACAGATACGCAGTCCATTTTCAGGTCTAAAGTAAAGACTTTCCAATCACGAAGTCACAGTAGAAATGGAATCTGCACCTGAGTCAGCTCCTTAGGGGATATTTTCAATATATTACAATAGACCTCTAGGGCTCTACTAAATACTACATTCTAATAGTAAAAAGAAATTATTTTGGGATTACAAATTGCACCGCTTCACTTTATCAATGTCTACACTTAAGAGTTGCACAATAATATTCACATATTTACATATTTGACATTAACATAATTTAAGATGATTTTGCTGATAAGTATATTAATTATTTGCAAATACAATAACCTCTTATCACCACTTATCCAGAAATCAATTAACAACAACAGCAACAAAAACAAAAACCCCTAATTATTATTTGACTTTATCTGGAAACTACTTATTTTAAGTATTCCATTATGTAAATCACATAATAATTTTATACAGTTTTTTCCAGGAAAAAAATAAGATATTGATGAGAATATCAATATGGGATTTTGAGAGTTAACAAGGACTTTAGAGGTCATTTAGCTAACTAAGCATCCTACCTCATATAGCACCCGCAACAATAGCGCTGATCAATGGTTTTCCAATCTTCATTTGGATATATATAATGTCACGGAACAGACTATCTTACAAGGTAAGACATTTCATATCTAACCTTAACTTTTTTATTTCAAAATTTCAATCATCTTTCACATTTAAAGTCACACATTTCCTATTTAAGTAAATTACTTCATTTGTCAATAAATGAGACTCACTACAAAAGAAGCAAATGAAATAATTGAGAGAACAAGAAATATTATAATACAAAAAAAGGCACAGTCTTAAACCAGAGTCACATTCTAAAAAGTCACTAGTTAAACTAGTTAGACATAGGTGTAGCCTAATTATGTAACAAAGACCTGGGGAAGAATAGCCTAAGTAAACTTCTTACGTCAATACTCCAAGTACTAATTGTGCTTTAAATACCTTTTCTTACAGAGATGATTTTCAGTAGTATAAGTTAACCCTTATATAGAATAGAAATCAATTTACTTGGAAACACTTTAGAAGCCAAAGTTTGATAGGTTAGGTATACTTAAAATGACAATTTTCAGAAGAAGTCAACCTTCTAGGCCATAAGAAGAAATGAATGTCATTCTACATAGAAAAGTCAACTCACAACATACAAGAAATATTTGATACATACCCTTGAGGAGACTGCTTATCCAGCCATCCTGATTTGACCTTTTTTGCTGATGATCCATAATAACATGCATAGGGTGATATGGAGTTTGAAGTCAAGGTTGGTTGATCAACAAGTCCACTAATGGAACTTTGTGGATAACTGTGCCTGTTAGCAGCTAAATCCAAACTCCCTTTTTGAGCCTTGGACTTGGACACCTTGGAATTTCCTCTTCTTAAACTGTTAAAACATTCTTCCACAGTGGAATATTCTGACTCAGAAGCAGAGTCTAATGGAACAGCAGTTTTATCTTCTCGAGGAATCCAAATATCTTCCACTTTGTCTTCACATGTTCTCATTCTGTTATCATATATGCTGAATGAAATGAAGAAAAATTTACCAAATTACTGGAAAGCAACAATTACCCCATACAATTAGCAAGTTTTCCTAAAATTCTTTATGGACAATCAGTCATAAAACTGTAAGCTGGAAAGAAATTTGACAGGTTAACTTTAATCCTCTGGTCTGGTGTGTTTCATTTTGCTTTTTTTTTTTGTCAATGGATTAATACCTTGTTTAAATGTTTTCCCCTTCCATGGGCAGGGAGGTGGCACAGTGGATAGAGTACTGGACCTGGAGTCACTGAGGACCTGAATTCAAATCCAGCCTCAGACACTTACTAGCTGTGTGACCCTGGATAAGTCATTTAATATGTTTGCCTCAGTTTCCTCATCTGTAAAATGAGCTGGAGAAGGAAATGGCAAACCACTTCAATAACGTTGCCAAAAAAACACCAAATGGGGTTACAGAGAGTCAGATATGCCTGAAACGCCTGAACAACAACAAAATCATCTTCCATGCAAAATCTGACAAATTCACTATTTTTAATTTACTATTTTTAATTAGATTTGGAGAACAGTGACATCCTTTATGTGATAATCTTTGCATATGTTTGGATACAATTATTAAGCAGCCTCTTCACTTTCTTTTTTCTTGGATAAATAACTGGTATTCCACTAACATTATTTCATAGATCCTTATTTTCTAACACTGTGATCACCTTCATGATTTTCCACTTAACCCACTCAAAGTACTTCACATCTCACCCTAAAAAAGCAATCCTTTCACTGCTAAGAACTGCTGTTCTAAAACTATTGTTTTGCAACTATAAAAAAAAAAAAAACCCAGCAAAACACTTTCATTGCTGGTCAGGAAATAAGAAAGGATCAATTCTCAATATATGCATCAAGCTTTGAAAGGAGATGCTTAATAGGATGCTTACACTATAGTCAGCCTTGAAGAATCTATGATGAGGTATAAATAAGATAATTACATCTAGTCACACAACTACAACAAAAACCTATTGAAACTCTATAAATATTAAGTTCCATGAAGTGGTCAAGTTGAATTTCTTGCATGAATAGTGATATTTGATAATGTGTCAGAGGAGGGACTGTCCTGATTTACCATTACATGGCATATGTTCGCAACAAGAATGGCTGTACTTAGAATATAGGGTCAAGAATCTTTTTTTGCCACCTCCATCAAACCTTTCATGACTATCACTGAACACAGAGATCTGCTATACTATTTTCAGTAGAAACCCAAGCTCAATAATTCAAGACAAAAATTAAAATCTAGATAGGCATGATACACTGACCAAAGTCAAGGAGAATCATAAGTCATAAAATCTCAGAGGCATCCAATCCAACCTCCTCACAGGTATGGCATCAGGAATTCAAATCTGGCTATTTTTCTTTGATTCAACATCATTCTAAATGAAATAATGAAGTTTTAAATGTCATATCACAGTTATTTCACTTAAAAAAGAAATAAAGGATTCTGTTAGGTGTTGATTGAGTACCTTGATTGTCCAAAAAACAAACTCCTTTCAGGACCTGCTTCTTTTTTAAGTTTTTCTTCCACAGTCCAAAATTCATTTTTCAAGGATTTCTGTAAGAAACATACACACAAAGATAAATTCCTCCTTGTTTTTAATGTGTTCAATAATAAATATGGATATAGTTAAACTATCACACAGAGTTTTCAAGTCTTATTTATACTTGCATATTGACTTTTAACATAAAATTACCTGTTATACTTTCAATCAATCGATCAATCAAGCATTTATGAAATGCCAGCTATGGGTCAGAAATTGTGCCAGGATAACATGGAAACATGTTTTGCATGACTAAGCACGTATAATCGATATCAAGATGCTTGCCTTCTCAAGGAGCGGAGATGGAAAGAAGGGAAATCAGAATTCAAAAATAATAGAAAACAAATGTTAAAATTGCTTTTACATGTAACTGAGAAATAAAATAAAAACAGAGAGAGAAAGGAAGGGAGGGAGGAAGGAAGGAAGGAAGGCAGGAAAGAAGGAAAAAAAGAAGAAAAGAAGGAAGGAAGGAAGAAAGAAAAGGAAGAAAGAATGAAAGAAAGAAACAAAAAGAAAAAAGAAAGGAAGGAAGAAAGGATGGAAGGAAGAATGAAAGGAAGGAAGAACAAAAGGAAGGAAGGAAGGAATAAAGAGAAAGAAAGGAAAGAATAAAGGGAGGAAAGGAGAAGGGGGATGGGAGGAAGAAAGGGAAGAATGGAGGAAGGAAGAAGAGAAAGGGAGGAAAAGAAATTGTGTCAGGGGCTGGAGATGCAAAGACAACATGTAACATTCCTGCCCTCAATGAGGTTTTGAGTGCAGCAGGAAGAGACAACAGGTAACACATATATGAACATACAAAACAGATACAAGGTGATTTGGGGGTGGAGGGAAGGCATTAGCAATTATGAGTATAAGAAACTATTTCATGTAGAAGGTGGTCAGTGAGCTGAACTTTGAAGAAAATAAGGCATTCTGAGAGACAGAGTGCACTCCAGGCATGAGGTACAACCTGTGTGAACATTAACTGAGGAACTTTAAGAACCATTTTGGTGTCATGGATGGAGGGAACTATTGTATAAGGTTGGAAAGGTAGATTGATGCCAGGTTGTAAATGATCTTAAATGCCCAACAGAAAAATTTTTGTTTTATCCTAGGGGTAATAGAGAGACACTGGAACTTATTAAAAGGAGAGTAAGCTGGTCAGTCATATGCTTTAAGACTTTCAATATGGCCATTTTGTGGAAGACGGTTTGAAGAAAAGGACAGACTTAAGGCGGTGAGACCAAGCAGAAATTACTGCAACAGTCCAGATGAGAGGTGATGAGAATCTGGTACATGATGGTGGCTATGTGGACAGAAGGCAAATAAGAGATGTTAAGGAGGTAAAAATGCCAAGATCTGATAAATGATTGGCAAAGTGGCTTGAGTGATAGGAAGGATGGCATCAAGATTGCAAATCTGAGGGACTGGAAGAACAGTGGTGTCCTTAACAGAAACAGAGAAATATGGAAGAGGTATGGTTCAGGGAGAGAGATGATGAGTTCTGTTTTGGACATGTTGAGTTTGAGATATCTCTAGGATATCCAGTTTAATATGTTCAAGAAGTTTTTGATGATTCAGGACAGGATCGTGGGAGAGAAACTAGGGATGGATGTATAAATCTGGGAGTCACCAGCAGAGAAAACAAGCTTTAAGCGATGGTGAAAAGAGAGATCATATAAAAAGAAGGAGCCTCAGGACAGAGGTCTGGCACACAGACACAAGTGTTGAATATAATATGGATAATGATCCAGACAAAGTAGACTGAAAGGGAGCAATCATAAAGGTAGGAAGAGAAAAGCTATGTGTCACAAAAACCCAAAGAAGAGTAAGTAATCAGGAAGGAAGGATAGTCAACAATGTCAAATGCTGAAAAGAGTTCAACAAAGAGAAGATTTGAGAAAAGGGCATTGGATTTGACAATTAAGAGATGACTGGTGACTTTGGTGGGGGCTGTTGCAATTAGGTGATGAGTCTGGGAACATTACAAATGGTTGAGAAGTAAACAGAAAGAAAACAAAGGCAATTCCTTTTTTTTTTTTCAAAGTTTGGTTGGAAAAGGGAAGAATGGTATATAACATTGCTTATGGAGCCAGTAGAGTCTAGTGATGGTTTTCTGAAAATAGGAGTGGAGAGACTTGGACATATTTGTAGTCTGCAGGATGTCGGCAATAGGAAAGGAGAGAATGAAGAGGGGAGAGGAAAATGGGGATGACTATGAGGACAATATGCTAGAGAATATGGGAGGGGATGGGATCAAGGTTACAGTGTAGAGGGGATTGGACTTGGCAAGGAGAAAGGCTATGATTGATCAGCAGTGATGGGGAAATAACATTATGGGGTTGTATGATCAAGTGAAGGAAATAAAAGAGATTAGATAACTTGAAGTTACACTATATCCAGTCACAGCTGAGTGACATTCTCCAGCAATATTCAACAGCACGTAAGTAGGAGTGGAGAAGGTGGATATTGCATGTAATCCAGGGTTAAAGTTAGGCGAGGCCTGTACAAAGAACAGAAGAAAGCAAGGGATTTAAAAGTATTATATGGAGTTGACCTAGTTTATTAAAGGCTAGAGAATGAGAAGGGAGAAGAGTAAAGACAGAGAAAGTATGATGGCCTGGGAAATTACTTAGGAATGGAAGGATCAGAGCTTACTAAATTGAGAAAGAATATTTAAAGGCCAAGTAAATCACAAGAAAAAAATGGCAGTTTAGATGGCTCAGTGACTAGATCACTGGGCCTGAAGTCAAGAAAACCTGAGTTCAAATCTGGCCTTGGACACTTACTAGCTGTGTGACCCTGGGCAAGTCACTTAAACACTGTTTTCCTTGGAGGCAGCTAGGTGGCTCAGTGGATGAAGCACTGGGCCGTAAGTCAGGAAACATAAGTTCATATCTGGCCTCAGATACTTACTAGCTCTGTGACCCTGTGTAAGTCACTTAACCTAAGTTTGCCTTAATTCACTAGAGAAGGAAATGGCAAACTACTCCTGTATCTTTGCCAAGAAAATCTTATACAGGGTCACAAAGAGTAAAACATGACTAAATAACTGAACAACAAGGCACAGGGAAAAATGAAGGGATAGAAGGTTATAATCAGAAAGAAGTGTTTCAGTTTTCTAAATCACAGAACTAGAATAATTTCTTGTAACTGAGAGAGGTCACGCATATGAACATCATTGTGACTGGCTGAGATGAAGAGGAGCGATAGATCATGGGAGCTGAGAAACTGGAAAGTCAGTGTGCTTGAGTGAACATTAACATTTATGTAAAGAAGTACTACAATGAGCTTTTTAAATAATTACCAAAGAGGTTGTACTTTCTAATAAAATTCCCCTAACTTTAATAAAAATTTCATACTGTGAAAAATCTGAATATTCAATTAATTTTTGTTATCAGATTTCTTCCCTGATTTTATCTTCTCACTTTTTATACTGGCTTATCATTTAAAAAAAAAAGGGCTGCTTTAAAAATGAATAGCGAAGTGATTGTAAAAACTAAAAATAAATAAATTTATTAATAAAAAAAGAGTAGCAAACAGATCATCAAATACTTAAGAAAATATGAGAAATCAGAGTTTGAAGGATCCTCAGAGGCCATTTAACCCAACTCATATATGAATAAGAACCTCCAACCTATCTGATAAGTAACGGCAATCCAAGCATTGAGAGAAGACCTCTAGGGAGGAGGTACCTACTTCCTTTCTAAGCACTCGTGGTAGTAACAACATCCTAACTCCTATCCCTAACAAAGTTAGATTAATTTTCCTGAAAAGGTACTGAGACCATCCTTAAGTCTTGGTTGGCCCAGAGAACTACAGGTTCAGACTACGGACAACACTTCCTGATGTTCCTGAGTGCAAAGCAGCCATGAAGCAAGCCATTCCAATTTGCATGGCTATGGAAAACTTGATCAAGGTAGCTCCATTCAGATGAATTGAATCAGATGTCATTGATCCCTATCCTCTTCTTGTTATGGCTAAGTAAATCTCCTTTTGTTAATTGTTGAATGATCTATGATTGTCTTACCTTGTTCCAATATAGAACCAGCACCCCAATTCTATTTCTGATAGTTCTGATTATTAAGAACATCTTCCTTACATTAAAAACTAAGTCATCTTCTTTGCAAGAAATTTGCATTTATTACTTATTTCATTCTCATATCTCAATAAAGATCAATCTTTCTAAAACTGTTTTTTATGTTACTAGCTTAAGGTGATTTTTCACATCTGAGTAAAAGAGTCTTCCTTACTTAAATATATTTTACATTTTTAAGCCAACTTTCTTCCCTCACTCTCTGACAAAGAATATTATGTAGAAGAGAATTAAACAATTCCCATGTACAAGAAGATAAAAACAACAAAAGAAACTGAATTTTGCTATCTGTAGGAAATCAAATGACTGGTGTGATTCTGCCTCATTCCTTGTGGTAGCACTCAAACCTCCTATACCATCCTAGAGTGTTTATTTGCTGAAAACAGCTGCTTCTAGGTCACACTCAATATGGAATACCTTGGGTAGACATTTCCAGTTTCAAGGTCTAGAAAAAAGATTTATGTGACAGTATAACAGAATTATGATCACCCCCAGGTTAAACCCAAACACGTATCCCTGTTGACAGTGATCCAAAACATTAAGGAACCCAAAAGCACTAAGCACAGTGCCTAGCACATAGGAGGTACTTTAAAAATGCTTCTTCTCTCCCCCTCCAAGCGCACCTCCAAGATTATAAGCCTCTCAGAGGCAGGGTTCTCTCACTTTTGTATACATATTCCCAGAGGCTAGCAAGTTCTTTACAAATAGTAGTCACATAATAAATGCTTTCTAATTGATTTATTCAACACCAGAACAGTTAGTCTGAATGACATGTTTTAGAAATGTAATTGTCCAGACTGACCAAAGAGTACTTACTGTCACCAAAAAGCTAACAATTTTTCTCTTAAAACTTTAATACCTTACTAATGGATTATCTTGAATGTTACATTATTAATACATTTCTTCATATTGTGGAATTGAACATTTCACTGTGGGTCTTTTTCATACACTTTCTAACTACTTTAGAGATTTGCAAATTTATGTTCATTACTCCCCATTACTTGGTGAGCAGTAAATAGTCAATAATGTTGGTTGCATTTTATTTTCTCAGGGCTCTACAAAACTAAATACAAACCTAAAACTATTATTATCTAACTTATTTGGAATGATTTGCCAAGAAGCAAAAGATCCGCAATATTCACTGGTAACAAATTCCAAAACTGAAAAGCCCTTAGGGCTATTTTTATACCAGGGTGGAAACATTGCAAGTCCTTAAACATTGCAAGACACTTTAAAATAAGGTAAAAATCCTAACTATCTCCAAAATATCCTAAACAATTTATCAACCACCAGTGGTACATAGTGTTTGGACATTGTTCACTCCCACTAATTAATATTTATCTATACTAGCAAAAAAGGTTACATTGCCTTAAGGTGTCAGAAGATATTTGCAAAGTTACCCAACCTTAAAAATTAGGAAATTTATCTTTTCATTTTATCTAAATTATATCTGGCAAGACTTAAGTCTTTCACTGGCTTACTTGGCAATCAGAACTATTCCCAGATTTCTGCCTGTAACATTTTGTTTTTAGTCAGTTGAAAAATCCTCAAAAGCTATCTAAGAATTAAAATGTTAGTACACAAGTAAATTTTTAAACTATTTTATATTACCTAATGTTTTCATTAAAACCACAAGTTAGCTCTTGTTCTAAATTAATATACATACATAGGGATGAATTCCATCTTAAGGACTTAAGATTTCATTTATCAATCAACCAATCAACTTATTTATTAAACATCTGCTACGCTCAAGGCACTCTGTTACCATGAGAAATGAGACAGGGCCCAGACCTGTGATTTCATTGGTATGTGAAATTCCCATCTAAGAAAATTCTCTCTACCAACTCGGGCTAAGGCTTTCTCTACAACTTAAAGTCTTAGAGAACCGACTACAACACTGGGTGGTAAAAGAACTTGCCTGCAGCCAATATATGTCAGGGGTATAACATGAACCCATATCTCCCAGGCTTTGAGATCAATACCAGGCTGCCTCTCTGGAAGAGGAAAATGATGGCAAAAAATAAACAGTACTTGGCCTCAAAAAACTTATGTTCACTGAATACCCTTAGGCATATCTTGGTGATATAGTAGAGACAACAATAACTAGCATAAATAAAACCCATAAGCAATCTACACAACTTATTTTAAACAATTCTTGCCACCTGTCCTTAATATCTCAGAAAAGATGTAAACAATGTACTCAGATTTATTTAAAAAAAAAAAGAAAAGTTAACCCTTATCCTACAAGTGTGGTAAAGAAGACACACCAAAAGCTTAACAACAATAATAATATTTTTCTTTTTTCCTCCACTTAATAGTATTTATTTACATTCATAATTACATGTAAAGATAATTTTCAACATTCACTTTCATAAGATTTTGAGTTGCAAATTCTCTCTCCCTCCCCTCCCCCTTCCCCAAGATGACATGCAATCTGATATAGGTTATATAGGTACAATCCTATTAGACATATTTCCACATTAGTCATGTTGTGAAGAAAGAATCAGAACAATAGGGGAAAACTATGAGAATGAAAAGAAAAGAGAAAATAGTATGTTTCAATCTGCATTCAGACTCCATAATAACTAATATTTATATAGCATTATGTGTCAAGTACAGTGCTAAACACGTCTCATCTGATCTCATGTCAAAGCAAATGACCTCAATATGTGAAAAACTGAATAATCTCAATCTTAAAATAGTTACAAATAGGCTAAGTAGTTATTAATTTGAAAGCAAAGAACTTAATTTACAGGTGAGTACTATACAAAAAGTCTATAATGCATTGACATACTTTCTGAAACACTAAGACAATTGTGTTGCATGAATAATGAGTATTGAAAAAAATGAAATGACAGGGCTTTCATGACAGACACTTTACTGTCATCTAAAATCTTTTAATGGAAGTTAAAATGTTTCTGCTTCATATTTAACTCGCTGAAAATAAATATGAAAAAAATGCTTATAATACATAATATTTTTCACTTAGTTCATGTGTGCCTTTGCAGGCACAGGCATATAGGAAATGAGAGTGGAAATATATACAAAAAAAACAAAAACAAAAACAGATACTTGCATTAAACCAACTCACCTTGGAATTTTCTGTGCTCTTAAAAAGAAAAGTATCTCCATGTGGAAAGATCAAAGATGACTGTTCTTCAAGTGACTCTTTTCAGGAGAGAGTAAAAAGATAAATTACCTTTAAAAAGTTAAAGCACCTTCACAATTAAAGCAGCACTAAGATTTAATTTTTATGTTAAAAATTATTTCACTAATGTCCACCTCCAATGCTTTATCACTATATGAAAATGACAACTGGTTCTCAAAGGCTTTGCCATGTAAGATGAAAGTTGTAGCTGCATATTGACTGCATTTGTATCTTTCCAAGACCAGCCAGGTTCTCTCAAGATGGGAGAGACTCATCTCCTGGATGCCCACAGGATGGTGACATTTGTCACAGCAATGCTCAAGGACCATTTAACAAGTTGTGCTGACATGGGATTTTTGATCATGCTGAAGGTAACTATACAATAAAATTACAAATCTGCTAAGTAGTGAGTTATTATAAAAGGTTCTTGGGTCCATATTATAGTCCCAAACTGCTCGTTCCATCCAAGCATACCTACCTTACTTTCTGCACTTTTGTTCCCATCATTTTTGCCACGAAATATCTCCCCTAGCACCGCTCCTTCTGCTATTGGAAATTCAACCCATCTTTCAAATTTCCCTTCCTGATAAACATTCCTTAATAAGCTTGACTCCCTTCATCTTTCCTTTCTCTGAAATCCAAAACTATTAAATACACCATTGCTTTGACAGTCAATCAGGTATTACTTTGTGACAGTTCTGGTACTATTGTCTTCAACTACCATTTCATTCATCTAGTGTTATTTGATTTTTCACATGTTTATGTCTTAATTCCATAATTGGGCAATGAAGTGGCACAGTGGATAGAGTACCAGACCTGGAAGTCAGGAAGACCGAGTTCAAATTTTTACATCAGACATTTACTAGCTGTGTGACCCTAGGCAAGTTACTAAACCCCATTTGCCTGAGTTTCCTCATTTGTAAAATGGGGATAATAATAGCACCAACCTCCCAGGGTTCTCAAATTTCAATGCCCTTCGGACAAATATCTGACACATAGAAAGTGCTATATAAATATTAGCTATTATTTTTAATTAGATTCTACACTACTTTTGGACAAAGACTGCCTTAGCCAACTCTCATGAAGTTGGCATCATGCCTTGAAAATAGTAAGAACTGGACTCAGACTGCAGAATGAGACATGTGGGAATCTGTTTTGCTTAACTATGTATATTTATTAAAATGTATTTTTTTCTTCCCCAATGGTGATAGTGGGATGGAAAGGGGAAAAAATTCCCTGATTTTTGTTCACTGGAAAAATAAAATTTAATTAGAAAAAGAAAATGGTAAGAACTCAGTAAATATTTGGTGTTTGATTTTTTGAGCTATAATAAATATCCTGAGATTTTGCCCATTGAGCAACTTTATTTTTCTCAAGTAAGATAGCACTACAAATATTTCAGGCCTACCTTTGGAAAGCATAAGAAAATTTTACAGTTTCTTTAAAACTTTAGGATTAAAAAAAAAGTTACAGCCATGAGAAAGCATTACTTTCATAATCAAACTATAAAATTTTAAGACAGATAGGACAAGATTATATTATTGGTCACTTATTCAAATAATTGTTTGATATAACCTACAAACTTATAGAAAAACTATTCTTCCAAATACTATATTCACTTAGTATTCCTTCCATATTAACTGAGCCTTTGATTAACCAAAATAGTCTTTCCCATTTACTTTGGGGGGCTTAGTTTCAATTATGTGGGTGATCCCTTTAAAATTACATTCAAGGTAACGTGGGTATCTGCAACCTTCAGTTAAATAAATTTCTCTCTTCCTCATTTTCTCATTTTGTAAAACTAGGACACTACCATCAACATCTATAGGAAAATTTGCCTGCCAAGGAAATAAAATTAAAATTTACTTGTCTATAATCTAAACAACTAGAAAATGGGTAAATAATAACTATTTTCTTCCCAAAACTATATAACATGTTTATAATGACAATTCTGAGTCACCCCTTTGAAAATTAACAACACCTCATTTCCTAGCAATCTGAGGATTTACTATAACCATATTTAACACCAAGAACAGTAATTCAATGAGGAATATTCTCTTGATTTGCCCATATTGGATATTTTGATTTCTAGCCAAACAGCATCACCAGGGGCATAGTTTCTTAAATAAAAGTCACTGCTCAGCTAGGTCGGAAAGTTAGAATTGATTCATCTCAGGATTCTTCAAGTGAATGGTAGTGTTCTGTGCCCAACACTTCCAACCCCATTCCCACTACCCCATTTAGTTCAGTCCTGTTTCCTCCCTTTTATTCAACCATCTTGGCCATACCCTCTGTAAATAGCCCTTGATAATAGAAATAGAGAAGGTCCCAGAAAAGCTCACTTTGTGACCAAACTTCTGATGAGCTCCTCAAATTAAGTTGGGCATAAAATGACATCAGGGGTTCTCTACTCAAAGCCTTTCTACCTGGTAGGAATCTGCCAGAATTTGCACTCCACTGACAATGAGGTCAGACACACAATATAAGGCGGCACTGGAACAGGACTTCAGTGGAAGATTTGCCAATGCAGAACTGTGAAATGCTCACATATAAAACACACTATTAAACATCTGATTATTCAGACATCCAATGCTTTTCTAGATCTAATCTGCCTGTACATAAAATATTCAACTTTCTTGGAAGAGAGTAATCAGAAAAAGCTATACCCACACCTCTTTTGTTTTCTGATGCTGGCAATTTTGACCTTCCTTCCACCCCTCAAAGTGCTATTTGATCTTAAGGTATTTGCCACCTTTTATTAAGGAAAAAGCATCTGAACTTGCAGCATAAAGGAACAAAGGTTCTTGGTCAAAGAACAATTAGCTGGGACATCCCTCTCAAGTATTTCCTGTTTATCATACACAAAACAGACTGCCAGCACCAGCCCTGATCCAGCTAGATGCTTTCTGTTGTGCCTGGAGAATGACCCGTTCTATATAAACATGTATTTAATGTTCAAGTTTTCCAAGCAGGCTCTGCTGTATTTTATTCAATCACTTTAAAAGTGCCCAAGCATGTAGTGTAAACAGACAATTAGTTATGTCATTTCCTTTTCCGCTTACTTATGAAATAGGTAGTTTGAAAAGTTTGATTCAACTTGCATTTAAAACAATCAGTGACTGCTGGTTTTAAAGAATCGACTCACTTTGCATAGTGAATGTCTTTCCATTGGAGTTACCACCAATTCTCCTCTCGCGGGCATAGCTTCAAACAAAAGAGAGAATCAGTTACAAATTAATTTCACAAGACGGTCAATAATTAGTTTTAGACTTACTTGGGAATGACAGTTACAGTAGCAAAGGTAATATCTGAAATTAGCAGTACAATTTTTCTTGAGCTTTGTTTACCTAGTGTCACAACACGTCTAATGTCTTTTGTAGAATTGCAGGACTGGAAGGGGATCTTAGAAATCATTTAAGACCAAAACCCTATCTTTTAAAGATGAGCAAACTGGAAAACAATGAGGTTAAATCACTTCCTCAAATTCACACAGCAAGTCTGGAAACTCCTTTCAATTATGAGAATTCTTTTCAGTACCAGTAAATCAGCTCTTTTTTTTTTTTTTTGAGAAACAATTCATACCATACAATAAAACTTCCAATTCTAATAATGAAACTAACTGGTACTCATCAGACCATTTATTGAAAAACAAATTTTTAAAAAATACTTTAATAGACACTATAAAATCCTTCAGGATAAACTTTGTAATAAGCACATTAGCAACATACAATTGTCATTAAATGCTTGGTATCTGAAAAGAGCCTTAGAATCTACAAAATAATTACACATACATTAACTCAGTGGATCTTTACAACACTCTCAGGTAGACAAGATGGATATTATTATCTTCATTTTACAGATGAGGAAACTAATGTTCATATAAGTTAAATGAATTACCCAACATCAAACATCTGTTACATCCAGAACTACATTAGGTCTTGGGATCTCTACTCAGTTCCATGATCGACTGATTTACATTTAATATAAACTGATATGCTAATTGCACTGTCATTTTCATCCATTCACCCTAAAATCAAAGGAAGGCCTTGGAGGGCTACTTGTTAACACACAAGTTATTTCAAACTATATCCCTAGAAAAATGTTCACTGATTCAATCATTTCATCAATTGGCTTGTACTCCCTCCCAGTTAGTGTAAATTATGGAATCACAATTTTACGGTTAAAAAGGGCTTCCCCAGTCATCTAGTCGAATACAAAACTGGCAAAAAGGATCTCATCTACAACATAACCAACCATCTAGCCTCTCTAACTGGGAACTTCAAGCAGGGAGAGACCAATACTTCTTGAGACAATCATCTATTTTGATACGGCTCGAATTATTGAGAACCTTTTTTTTTTTTCTTAAAGCCAGCCTAAATCTGCCTCTTCACAACTTCCACATACTATTCTTACTGCTGACCTTGGGGATTTGAGTAAATCTAATCCACCTTGCCCACGTACACTGTCCTTTCAACATCTCCAGTTCCTTCAATTAATTCTCATATGGTACAAAGATACAGACTCAAAGCTGGTAACTATCCTGGCAGCCCTCCTCTTGCTACTCTGATCAGAGCAGAACATATCCAGAACATGGTTCAGTTTGGAATACCACAGTATAGGAAGGACATCTGAAAAACCTGGGACTGTCACCTATTTATTGCTGGAAATTATACATCCCTTAAAGCAGCCTAAGAACTAATGGGCTTGCTTAGCTGTTATTTCACTCCATTAATTAGTATTGGGCCTGAATTGTACTTAAACCCACCAAATCTTTTTTTGGACAAATTACTGTATAACCATGGTTCCCCCAACCTTACACCTATGAATTCAACCAACATCAAAGATTTTCTGTTTATCCCCATTTAACTTCATCTTATTAGATCAAGTCAATGCTCTGGACTGTCCAGATCTTTTAGGATACCAATCCTATCATCCAGTATGTCAGTTCTACCCTCCAGCTTTGTCTCATAAGAAAATGTGATAAATCAGTGTGTTTTTCAATGATTGTGAATTACCTTTGATCAGCATTTAACAATATAAGTTCTCCTAAACCCTTCAGGTAATCTCCAATGCCTCTCTCCATTGCACTTTAAGGTCGAAGGCCTCTTATATTTCTTACAGTTGGCTTCTTTAAATCATACTAGCCACATCCTCATCTACTTCTTATTAGCCTCTTATCTGAACTATAACCAGCACCATCATTTACACTGGCCTATTCCCATCTATCCTATACATTAAGAGAAAGAAAAATTTCTTCAAATGTTTAATTCCTATTATTTTCATCTCAGAACTCAGCAGAGTGGTGACCAGATGTCATTCACATTAAATTTAAACCTTCAGACCCTTCAGCATTTAGCAGAGCCTTTTTCTAATGGCACCTAGGAGGCCTAATGGATAGAATGCTGGAGTTCCAAAGCTGGCTGAAATTCTTAATAGCAGTGGAACCTGGAACATGTCACTCAGCCTCTTGGAGGTTGTTTCCTTATCTAAAAATAAGGGGTTTGGACATGATGGCCTCTACAATCCTTTCCAGCTCTAATCTATGATCCTATCATCTTAATGCGTTGCTTATAAGCTGGGCCATACTAGAAATCAAGAAAACCTACGTATCTCTCTAAGCCACTGTCTCAGTCCTCCAAACTGCTGCAGATTCTGCACACTCTCCTTTCCCTCTCTGAATACTCAGCTCAAATTTTGTTCCCCTCTAGTGTTTTCCAGACTTTTTACTCCCTCACTCCCTATTCCATGTTCCCACAGCACTCACACACTGCATTTCTTGGTTTTTACATCATGATATGATACCATGTAGAACTATTCTATTGTTGGATATGTGTCAGGGGGTAGGGGCATTTTCTCCTCTAAGTTACATGCTCCTCCAGGGAAGGAACAATATTTTTTTCATACAATGTTTAGTTTAAAGTTGCTTAATATTGGCAGACTGGCTACTGCAGTCGCACTTAACTCTCACCTATGGGAAAACCATTTCTATACTTAGGTCTTCAGATTATCCTAGATATTCAGAACTTACCACAGGGTAAAGGCAATGACTATAATGGTTTCTATGTTTTCCTGTGTTCTTGACACACTTACATAAATGAATGTACCTTAGCTCATTACTAGATTGTCAGAGCTCTAACCTATAACCTAAATAAACACTCTTCAAAACTGCCTTAAAATTCAAACACATAAAAATGTATCATTTCAAACTGCTAAACAGCACACTGGGATTTAGGAGCAGAGAGCCAACCTCAGACTCTGGGCCATCTGATTTCAAATCCTTCCTGTCATATACTGGCTATGTAATCCTGTCCAAGTCACGTAACTTCTTAGTGCCCCAGGCAACTCTCTTAACCCATAAATTATACATCAGCTGCTGATCAGCCTACCCAGGAAGCTTCCCCACTGGGAGTTTGATATGCCATTGAAATCACAGTACCAGTCTAAAAAAAAAATCCCAACAACAGCAGCATTTACTTCTGGTGCATTTCCCCCCCAGTGCTATTATTTTTTCAAATTTTTAAGATTTGTCAATTAGAAAATCAAAAGCCTCTTCATGGTAAATTTTTAAATCTTTATTATTTATAGAATCATAGAGAGTTAAACTAGTTGAAGGACCTAAGATCAGCTAGTCTATCATTGTTGTGTTATAAAATAAACAGATTCTGACAGGAAGTTAGTTATTTACCCAAAGACTAGATCCATGAGAAAGAAACTATCTCAGGGAATAAACTATGCTCTTAACCAGAAGACCTAGAAACATTTAGATGGCAGATGCAGTTCTCAGAAGGTATTTCTCCTCCCTCCCTTGATTTCCCCAATACCATTAGTGGGACCTCTAAAGATAATGATGATGGCCAAAATTTAATAACATTTTACAGTTTTACAAAAGCTTTATCTCACTTAATTCTCACAAACAGCTCTCAAAAGTAGGTAACACAGTACTTCCCTCATCTTATAGATACTAAAATGGGGGAAAGCACTTAAAAGGATATGCAAAGAAAGATTAAAGTACTTTTCCCAAGGTTAGACAACTAGTGGCAGGATTCCAAACCAGGTCCCCTGAATCCAAATCCAGAATTCTTTCCCTTACACAAAAATACCTATCCTGATAAGCCCTGTAACTATTTAATGCCATCCAATTAACACCCTGTTCCTGGCCTACTTTATAGTTCTAAATTTGCTTCTGGGGCCCCTTTTGGTTTCTGATAGGTTCAATGAAATTAAGGATAGGTACTAAACAAATTCCTGAGGGGATGAAGAGGATTGAAAGACTGGGGGAGTGGGGAATTTCAGAGGGCATAAAACATCACGGTGAAAATGACACTGACAGGCTCCACCACCTCAGGTTTATTAGCCTAGAGTTAAGATTTACAAACCCCCAGCACAGAGATAACCTGTGCGTGGCCCAATACTAACACTGTTACCATCAACTTTCCAATGATATTTTTTTTTAAAAAGGTAGAAATTAGAAGCTTTCCCAGTCCTAATGTGGGTAAAGTATGCTCCCTCCCATGTATTTTGACAGCATTCTAGAAATGCTTACGATAGCAATAAATTAAGGCATAAATTAAAGACAAATTATTTCCATCCAAATATGACAAGATGGTTTGCTTAGGGAATCAACAATAAAAAAAAAATAGATCTCCACAGAACTGGAAATACTCTATGTAGAAGTTGCAAAAAAAAAAAAAAAAAACCTGGATAATAAAACCACAGAAAAGTAGGGAGTGATTCTGATGTACAACAGGGCAGGAACATACCTATAGTGATGAGGTCACAAAGTCATGGAAGTAGGTAAGTATCAAAACAATACCAAACTCTGATTATCTGGCCAATAAATGGGGCATTCTGGTGTGTGAAAAGATTAAATGTGAACATGAATATTTCTGACTTCATACTTATGATACAGTGGAAATTCTTTTAACTATAACTTGGGGGCTATTGATAAGTTGAATAATTCTGAAGTGCAAAGGGAATTGTATTGCATTTGTGCTTAAGGCTTTGGTTCACATCTCATCTATGCCACTAAGTAGCATCCACAAATCACATAACTTATGTAGGCCTCAGTTACCTCACCTGGGAAAATGGGGGATTTGGTTGTGATAATCTCCAATCCCTCTCTGCCCTAACATTCTACAAATGTGGCACTTACCACATATACATTACTCAATTATTTTGCTTAATGGCTACAACATGCTCTTCATGTCTTACACGAATTAGTGATTTATAGAAAAATGAAATGTAATATAATATTTTTAGCATTAATCCTAAACATGAATAAGGCAGCTATATGGCACAATGGATAGAGCACTGGGCCTAGAGTGAGGAAGACTGATCTTCCTTGTTCAAATCTGGCCTCAGACACTTACTAGCTGTGTGACCCTGGGCAAGTCACTTAATCCTGTGTGCCTCAGTTTTCTCATCTGCAAAATGAGCTGGAGAAGGAAATGGCAAACCACTCCAGTATCTCTGCAAAGAAAACCCCAAATAGTATCATGAAGAGTTGGACATGACTGAGAAACAACTGAACAACAAAACTAAATGAATGAACATATTCCAACCTTAACTGCAGCAGAATTACCAACCTTATCAACTGCAGTATCACTCATAGGGCTTTAGCAAGTTCCTACAAAGGTAGTAGGCTATAAGCTCCTTTAAGGTGAAGACTATCTTACTTTTATTTTGTAAAACCCAGTTCCTATCATAGTGCCAAGTACACAGTAGGTGCTTGATAATGTCTTTGTTGAATAAAGTACAAAAAAAATTTTCTTTTGTTTAGGCCAAGAAATGAAAAGTTTAAATATAACCACTTAAAAAAAATTGAGGACCAATCAATAAAATTACTTAACAGGATGAATTCAAATAATAATTACCATGAAAATATTTTTAGTCACAGATGCCCAAATACTTTGAAACCCCTCCCCCCAAGATTTTTCTCAGTGATCTATGTTGACCTATTATCTCCAGTCACAACTGTCACACTATAGAAAATAAATTACAGATACCACAAAGCACGACAGCACATCTGTCAGTAAATGCAGTCTCTTCTCTCATCACAGATATATTTCACAATCGAATTTCAAGAGAAAATCACAAGCTGTAATCCTTAGGCAGAGTGAGCCCCAAAGACTTCAACAGATACCTCAACATTAGTGTCCCAAGTAAATAGCTATACATACACGTGAATTGAGTTGGCACCCCAAAGCCATCTGACCAAGAACAAAGCAGTGAGTACTAGGTCAAGAATTTGAACTCCATAATTCATAGGTAATATGAAGTCTCAGCATCATCATATTCTGGGAATAGTTACAGACAAGCACTTTCTAAGTATAAACAAGCAAAAGAAAAGAAAAATTACCAAACTTCTGACAATTGCTGTAGCTGCGAAATATGATGCAGTGGAATGACCGCTAGCTATGGCCTCAGAGAATCTGGATTCAGACTGCCACTGTGACCTTGAAAAAGTTATTAAACTACGCTGGACCTGACTTTCCTCTTTTGCAAAATGAAGAGGGCTTGGGCTAAATGGCCTCTGAGGACCCTCATAGTTCTAGAACCATGATTGTAATCTATAAAACACATTTGCATATGCACAACTGTTTCAATGGGAACTCTGAGTACAATTAAAAAAAAAAAGCCCTTCCAAATAGTACACAAAGACAGACATTGTTAAAATGGCAATTCTTCCTGGAGAATAGTATTTCTATCGAAAGGAACACTGCCCTAGGAGTCTATAAATGAGTGCATTGATTACAAGTTAAACTGGATTTTGAACTGCTATTAGTGACAATTCCACACTAATCTGTGTGATTCAAGTTATGATCTCAGTCTTATTAATTCGATTTAAACTTTTGTTTTAGCAAATGTCCCCTACAGCTTGAGGTAACTGAATGGTAGCTACTTAGTCCAATCTTCCAAATGATCCTTTGCAGCTATAAGTCAAACTTAAAAAAATATATACCCATCTGATAATCTAATTTACTGTGGCTGAAACACAAAAGGTTACTGACTAGAAATCAGAAGATTCCATTTCTATTTCACATAAGTCATTAATTAGTTGTGACATTAGAAAGTTACACTTCATCTTTCTGGGGCTCAGTTTTCTTGTTTGTAAAATAAGCAGACTTGGACTCGGTAAGGGGTCAGTTCCCTTTCTAACTGTACAGTTCTAGGATTATAGAAGATTTTCTACTCCTGTTGTTTTAACTGAAAGAAAAAATGCATTATGAAACATCTATTTCCATTTCAGTGATTCACACTCTAACTTAACTGCAGTTAAGCTACAGTATTCTGTGTGATACCAGCTTGAGAAAACTTTTCTTTCATGAATAATAAAAGGCACACTTACAAAAAAGCACTTTTTTTTAAAGGGAAGGATAATTACTTTGTACTTTTAATAATTTGTAGTTCATTAAATGCCTGAAAAATTATGCTCATTTTCACTGCCTGTAGTTGCTTCATGCCTACATATTCTTAGAGGCTACATCAGATATTACACTTCAGGCATTACATTTTCATTTAACATAGGAATCACTGAATCACAGACTATTAGAAACATAAAGTACCCTAGAGATCATTAATCCCACCTTTTTGTTTTATAGGTGCTGAGACCCTAGAAGGTTTAGTAACTTTTCCAAGGTCACACAACAAATTAGTAGCACAGGCTCCAAGGAGGGGTGGGGTGGAGGTTGGGGGGAAGGGAGGTCTAATATCTGAAGTATAATTCCAGAGTTCTGCCAAGTGACATTTTGAAACCAAGTTAGAAACCAGTCTCAGACATTCATATTTTCAATTTCCAGAAAATACAAATCCATAAATAAAATACATCTACAGGGCAGCTAGGTGGCACAGTGGATAGAGCACTGGCCCTGAAGTCAGGAGGACCTGAGTTCAAATCCGACCTCAGACCAAATACTTGACACTTAGTAGCTGTGTGACACTGGGCAAGTCACTTAACCCCAGTTGCCTTAAAAAAAAAAAAGCAAAAATAAATAAATAAATAAAATACATCTAAATAACTGACTGCAATTTTAGAAATATGAGATTTGGTTACAGCTTTTAAATAAAGTATCTTTAAAATCTCCTTTAAACTAACCAAACTTGTGATTTCGCCAGAGTAAGCAAGCTTCACCTACCAATGTAGAGTAGTACCTATTCTACAACTTATGGTCTTAGAGCGGGGGTTCTTCACCTTTTTGGGGGGAGCGTGTACCCCTTTGCCAATCTGCTGAATCCTATGGTCCAATTCTCAGAATACTGTTAAATTCATCAAATAGAATATATAAGATTAGAAAGAAAACCAATTATATTGAAATGTATTCATCAAAATATACATATATGTACATAAATACGTACATACATATGATACATAGTCCATATTTACCACTGCATCAAAGCAGCCAGGGAGACTCAACACTAGGTGATCTGGCTGAGAATTTACTTAGATGTATTCCTATAATGCAATTCATACACCGTGATTATATTTCCATTTCCACTTTCTTCTTTTCCTGAAGATCCAAATCACACAAATGCCAAGATCTTTTTTTTTATGTATGATGTACAACTTGCAACTAGATAACATTTTTAAAATTTCAGTAAAGTTTGTGAAATACAATATAACAAGTGAAATAAAATGTATCTTAACCAAAATTGGCCTCCTTGCTTGTAAGGAGTCAAAGACATTTAATATCCCTTGGGCTTTTCTGGCCAGACTACACACTTCATACGGTATCATAAAATCAGCTCCGCTACAGGGTCCTTTTCAGGGTACTATCACAAACCTACCTCTGCATGCCAAAAATACTAAGTTTCTAGAGACTATATCTCCATTTTTATTTTGCTTAAGAAGCCAGTTATTGTTAATTTTAACAGAAAAAAATGCTTTGAAAGTAAAAATATCATGCAGAAATGGGCAATCCTAAAACAGCTACTTCAATCCTAACTTCTCAAATGCCCTTCTCTTCTTTTTTTTTTTCCAAATACCATTTGGAATACAAAGGGAAATTGTAGATTTGCCCCAGTCACTATGGATGCCTGAAAACTGTATGGAAAGAAATCGTTGGCTAAGTATAATGGGTAAACAAGACAGATTCTGGGTTTTCAAGATATATTACTTAGAACTTGTGGGGAAAGTATAGGACTTCATAAATTGTTCGGGGCCAATTCATCCATAATGAAATTAGTCTTATTAAATAATGTTATTACTATAACAACTCATTTCTATAATACTCTAAAGTTGGCAAAGTATTCACAACACGAGAGGCCATATAATGTAAAAGACAGAGAACCAGTCTCAGAGAAAGACCTAGACTCAAGTTCCATTTATGATACATACTGGTTGTGTGACCTCCCAGCAAATCAATTAAATTCTCAGTGTACTAAGTAACTTTCTATGATTATAAGCAGCAGAGGAGGTTCTCACCTGCATTGGTAGAGGGAGTTTCCACATCTTGGGAACTCCCTATACCAATCCCTAACCCTATCTTCTTCACAGTAAAACTCTAAGGTAGCCAACGTGTATAGTATCATGCCCCATTTTACAGATGAAAAAACTGAGGCTCAAAAGATGATGTGATTTGCCAGCGATATACTCACTCCAGGTTTCTTTCTATATCATGCTACCTCTCTATTGCACAAATATAATTATCCAGAACTATTAATAATAAATACCCCAAACTTAGCTCTAGTCCATCATGAAAGTCCTTACCTCCCTGACACAGCTCCTTTGGATGACACGGGGATTTCTGGCACAGGCCTGTGTCTCAGCATGAAAGATCGTGATGGTCTGGAAACCAATTTGCTACGACTCCTCATAGGTACTAGATTTTGTGTTGATGATATATACAAGTCATTTACAATCATCTCTCCTTTAAATTCAAAGAATGGAGATGGAGGTGGTCTAGCTGATAAAATCCCAGGCTCATTTTCAAAACTCGTTTTGGAAATAGAATAATCAATGGAGGAAGGAGGTCCTCTGTCCTCATTATGAAAGACTTCAGGATTGTCTAAGTTCCAACCAACTTTTCCTATTTGTTCTTTTTCTTCTGCGCAATCCACATTCTTTTTTGTAACCAAAGCTGTATTCTCTGTATTTCCACTGTCAAGGGCAACATTTTGACAACAATCCAAACTCTGTGGGGACATACTGTCTAGAAGAGGAAAATCACTCTGTTTAGTGAGGGAAGATGTATCAACTGATTCTGTAGACTGCCTATTTTCATTACAGATATCATTTCTGCCAGGAATTGTTGCTGAAGCCTCCAACGACTCTAGGCCAATGCTCTGATTCCCACACAAACCAGCAAGTTTTATCCAGGTATCGGGACCAGAAGACAAAGCTTGTTCATCCTTTAATATCACTGGGTCCTTCTTTCTTTTCTGGACATTTGCATATACAACAGGGTCTTGCAGTTTTGAAAGGATCATCTCTAACTGTTTGAGGATCCTTCTTCGATGGCCTGTAGGCAACACTCCAATTTTCTGTAGTATGCTGTCATTTATCTCTGCACAGTCCTTCACAGTATGGTAGCCAGACTCCTGAAAGCGCAAAAGATACTGCTCCAAGTTAATGTTTTTTAACAACTCTTTGAGGTCAGCATTCACTTCGTTGACTGAGGACATAATGGTGGCTTCATTACTAATTCTTGTTTTAAGGTCAGGACAGCATAGATCAGTGAAAGTGTTTCTGAGTTAGATCTTTAACCACTTGTGGCATACTAATTTCTTCAGAACAGTATTTGAAATCTCCACATTCTGAGCTCTAAACATGTTTCAACCTGTAAAACAAAGATGTATTGTGCTTCAGTAGCAAGTAGTGGTTATTTAAAATAGCATTTATGCTATCAACTTTCTCTAAAGAAAAACATAATAGCAGACATCAAAACAGTGATTTTTGTGACCCAGAACCCCAATCCAAGGCACATTATTGGGGCAGAGCCTCAACATATATATAGTTGTATAGATACATTAAAAATCTCTATCATCACCACATTCTTTTTCCAAAAAGTCCCTTGAAATAGTTGGAAAATTGTTTCCTTGGTAAATATGCACACTTCCAATCACCCTCCACATCATTCCAAATGCAATATGGTCTGATGCAGGGGTTATTAACCTGGGGTCTGTGAATTTTTGTTTGGTTTGTTTGTTTTTAATCTTTTGATAACTGTACTTCAATATAATTGGTTTTCTTTGTAATCCTATCTACTTTATTTGATACATTTTAGGAGGGGTTGGTCAGTCTATAGGTTTTACCACACTGTCAAAGGGTGACACACAACATAAAAAAGGTTAAGAATCTCCTTGCACTACAGACATTAATCTAACAAATGCAGTGGAGACCAAGAGAAACTATTAGTGACTTCAGCTAAGTCATTTTACCCATCTTGAATCTCAATTCCCTCATCTTTAAAATGAGAAGGTTGGAATAGATGACCTCTGGGATCTCTTAAAGCTCTAAATCAACTACCTTAAACTAAGTGGCAAAATAGATAGAGGCTGGGCTGGTTGTCAGAAAGATTCATGCCACTGATGCATACTGGGACATTGGGCTAGTGAGTCAACTTCTTACTGCCCCCAAGATATTCTCTATGACTAGGTACTAAGTTACAGATAAGTAGCTGATCTGCATTGGTAGAAAGTTTCCAAATAAGTAGTTTTTGGGTCTAAAAGGAAATGAATAAAAAAACACTGAAAACCAGATCCAGCAACATGTTACTATTTCTGCATCATTAAGTAAACCAAGGGGGAAAACACCTAATTCATCCAATTTTAAGGGTAGAAATGTAGGTCATATTTTCTTCTATTACAAAATGAATCCTCCACTCAAGTCCTATTTTATCACATTACTGTGGCAGAAAGGCAACTTTGTGTTTCCAAAGGCAATACTATGGGGCAAAAACAAACTCAGGAAGGTAGGTAACACTAAGCTAGATAGCTTTCCAGTACATTCTTGGCAAGGACCTTTCTATCTATTATCTGAGGGCCAGTCTTGCTAAGTGCAGCAAGGCCTGCTGACCTCAAGGTAATGATTGGCAAGGAAAAAAGGGGGGAAGTAGAAGGAAAAAAAAAGTCATAGACAATTTACAGAGATTTGGGGGGGGGGGGATTGTAATCTGGAAAGGGAGAGCCCGAAATGATGAAGTCACAGACCTTCTGAAGTACCAATGTATAGCAGAGCAAAAGGGGGAAAAAAAATCAGTCTTGTACAATATTTGTTTTAGACAAAAATGTCTGAGATTTCTTTGCTATAGGTAACTTCCATTGAAGAAATCCTCTCTAAGGACATTTATAACAAAATGTATAAAGACACCTGGATAGAAAAGGAAAAACAGGTACATGTAGGTCATTCCCAAACAAGGCTGCCTTCACTATAGAGTGAAAAGTCTCCTCTTTTAAACATGATTCAATCCTAGAGAAACCATTTCAAAGCATACTTAGGGTTGAAATTCTGGTTATGTGGGTCATACCCTGACTGAGACGTTGCCATCAACCCCTCAGACATGAGCAGAAAATCAAGGATGAGCCTGAAAAAAAGATAGTGGCATACATACAGGTCCATACTAGCCAAGGGAGCAGAATGTTGAAATGGAGAAAGGTAGAAAATGAGAACAGCCTGTTTCAGTTCAAGTACTGAATCACACCTAGAAGGCTGGAGTGTGACTTTGAAAGTGTTTATAAAAAAACAAAAAAACAAAAAAACAAAAAAACACAACACTATCTTCAAGGTTGGGCCTCTTTACTCTTCATACTCTCAGCCCTTACTGACCTGTCCTCATCTAGCTAAATTCCTTTTGAATTTATATAAGTTTACTATGGATCAGACCTTGGAAATAAACCTGTTTATTAAACAAGTATTAAATAATTGATTAAGCAATAATTAGGTGCCAAAATGGCTTGCAATCTATGATCTTCTATTGAATGAATACATGAAGAGTATTTTAATGCCATATTTGAAAAGCATAAGACTACAAAAGGAATGAAAGAGTCTCTGATTCCCAGGAAGGTTATACCAGAATAGACTCAATAGAGAAAATAGAGATTTAATAAAGATATTCACAAGGATCAAAAGAGACAGTTCCAGATGATACACATCTTTACTCATGACATTCCATATACCTGGAATAGCCAATCCCTCCTTCACTTGGACTACTTCATTCTTATTTATTCTTTTTTTTTTTTGGCTAAGCAATGGGGTTAAGTGACTTGCCCAAGGTCACACAGATAGTGAGTGTCATGTGTCTGAGGCTGCATTTCAAGTCAGGTTCTCCTGATTCCAGGGGCAGTGCTCTATCCACTGTGCCACCTAGCTGCCCCCATTCTCACTTATTTTTTAAAGTCCAACTCTAATACCACTTTGTCCACGAAATCTTTCTTGCCCTCTAAAGCACTTACATAACAATATATAACAAAACTGGAGGGACTATCCAAATCAATGAGATCCAAGATCCAGCTAAAGCCATTTGTATCATATTCCCAACTATTAAGAAGCTAAAGGCTGTGCCTTATCTAACCTTTTTATGTCCCCAGCATTTAGCACACTACTCTACATACAGCAACAGGTACTTAATAAATGGTGTTTGATGTTTATTATAAAATAAAGATCTTATGGCACTTTGCATCTTTCTTGTGGCATTTATTTTATTTGGCCTTGTGTCATCAAAAAAAAAAAAAAACAACCAAGCATTAAGGGCCTACTGTGTGCCAGGCACTGTGCTTACCAATGAAGATACACAAAAAGGCAAAAGTCAGTTCCTGCTCTCAAGGAATTCACTGTACAATGGGAAGTAAAGACACGCAAACAACTATGTAAAATCAAGTTAAATATTAGATATATCCCAAATGTGTCTAGTTATTTATTTGTATTAAATTACCTTCTTAACTAGAAACCTTTTAAAGGCAAGGGTTGTATCTTAGCTATCATCATTTACAGAAGCTAGCCCTTAACAGAGAACAATGAAAAGAATTCTAAACAATGAATCAAGGGGCAGCTAGGTGGCGCAGTGGATAGAGCACTGGCCCTGAAGTCGGGAGGACCTGAGTTCAAATCCAGCCTCAGACAAAACACTTGACACATACTAGCTGTGTAACCTTGGGCAAGTCACTTAACCCCGATTGCCTCACTAAAAAAAAAAACAAAAAAAACAATGAATCAGCAAGCCTGAGACTATGTCCTACTTTGGTAAGTAGGAGGTTTGTGATTTCGGGTATATCACTTCAGTTATCTAGTATACATTTTCCTTACACATAAAAATAATGAGGCTGGACTAGATAAATGAATGGTTCCCAACCTGGGGTCACTAGAGTGTTGAAGGAGATCCATAAATCAAGAAGTGAGTCCATAGGCAAAATAGCTTCTGTACACCAGATTTTACCCCACATGTATTACCATTTTTCAAATATATAAAGATGCTATGATAGTTAATAAATTGCAAGTCTATTTTAAAACATTAATGATTCAGACTAGATTTTGCTCATGTATTTTCTCAATTAGCTTATGCCAATTAAATTTAAGAAGCATTTATAAAGTGCCTAATATGTGCCAGGCACTAAGCTGGACATTGGGGAAGTAATGACCAAAATGAAACAGTATAACCTTTATCATGTGGAGCACCATGGAATTTTCTGATTTTAAAAACAATCCTAAAGCTTTGGCACCACCAGAGTAAAAATGACCTTTAAAGTCCTTTCAGAAACTCATATTTGTTTGACTGAACCAATTCCAAACTAATTATTTAGTTTGGTCACTCTCAAATCCATGTTCCATGGGAAGCCAGGATAGAAAGGAGATATCAGGCATATGATTAGATGGGATTAAACAAGGAAGTCTTGGGGGCGGGGCAAAGCCAAGATGGCAGAGAAAAGGCAGGAACTCATCTGAGTTCTCCTCCAAAGACCTTAAATAATGCCCTAAAATAAATTCTGGAGTGGCAGAAACCCAAAAAGGATGGGTGAAACAATTTTCCAGCCCAAGGCAACTTAGAAGGTCAGCAGGGTCTGTTGTACCAGGAGAAGAGTGGAGCACAGTCTAGCACAGGTTGTGCCAGTACAGACCCAGACTGCCCTCGGCAAAACAAGAGCAGGTCTTGGGAGTGACTGAATCAGCAGTGGCAGTGGCTACTTTCAGAGCTCTCAGCCCACAGAGGGTAAGGGGGGTGTGGAACAACTGGTCAAAAGGAAATTACAGGAGTCTCTCTGCTGGCACTAAGGGCAGAACTCTTGTTTTGCCCATACTTGGATCCAGGTCACAGACCTGGGTGGCAGTCCCAGAGTGACGAGGAACACTAGCACACCAGAGACTGCCACAGCAGGGGAGCAGGGGCCTTCATCACAGTTCCAGGGCAGAAAAGAGTACTTGTGGTCCTTCAGAGACCAGAGCACAGGACAGGAGAGCAGTAAACACATCTCTCCTTATCAGGGGTTCCCAAACTTATTTGGTCAACTGCCCCCTTTTCAAAAAAAATTACTCAGTGCTCCCCCCCCGAAATCTACTTTCTTTAACTGTTTGACTTATCTTTTAAGTTTGCATCATTTCAAAAAATATTATTTTTTTTTAAATGACACATTAAATTTAATGATTGATTGTAAATTTGTGGGAGTTTTCCTGCATTGAAATTTTGATAACACAATATTGCTTCATGTAACCATATAGTATGTATTGTAAACAAATCATTACACACACATATTCCTGACAATGCATGCTGGACTTCCCAACAATGCACAATACTTGCTTGTTAAGGTTTGTCAGCAGACTTGACCATTGATGGGTTAGAACTTGGAT